ATAAGAGTTACTAGTATAAAACTACAGTCGCACTGTTGGCTATAAGAAAATAGTTTATAAGAGAAATGTACTAGTTGACAAATGATTTAAGAGCGAATTTGTTTTAGGTAACTAATCAATTGCTTGTATAGAATATTAGAAAAGTCTCGAAGATTATGTATAACTTCAGATACCTAATTACCTAAATTAGTTCTTAGAATTTATAAGTTTGATGTTTAAGAATCATTAATTATAACGACCAAAACATTATTTTAATTTTAATTCAGTTTATAAAATACTAGCGGCCCGCTCCGGCTCCGCTCGGGTCTTTAACAAAAATTGCAACGATATTTGACGTTGTTTTATTTTTTTAAATAAAATAACACTTATTGCGGCATAACTACAATAGTTAGACATAATATGCTGTCGTGACACTTTTTGTAATTAATGATATATTATGTTCTACAAAGTAGTAGTACCTACATTATTTAATTCATCATCAATAGTTTTCGCAGGGCACGCGATGTAAAGAATACTTTAGGTAAATTTTTTTTCACCTTGGGTTACATTATTGGAATTTTAGTAAGGATTCCTAATTTTTTTCAGAAAAGATTATAGCCTATGTCACTCGGGCATAGTGTAGCTTCCAAAGAGTGAAATAATTTTTCAAATCGGTTCAGTAGTTACGGAGCCTATTCAAAAAAAAAAAACAACAAACAAAAAAATCTTTCCTCTTTATTAGTATAGAAGTATTGATTGAAACGCTTAGACAAAATCTCTCCTACTCACATCACATCTAAAACCGTAGCTTCCAAATAACATAAGTACTCATTAGCAATAATTCCATTCGAGTCGACACATGAAATCTAATACTAATGTAGCTAGTATTAATAGTCAGGCACGCAACGTACACATTAATAACAAAATGACAATTCAGCTGGATTCAGCAAATGTTTATGCTGGTGGATATCAATTAAATGAACACGTTTTCATGTCATGCTATCACATAATGGCGAGTGTTTAATAACGCTACGTGTAAATAACATTTAAACACACATTTATGTACGCGTTGTTTGATTTATCAAGTGTCTTACACTTGTAGGTTTTTAATAGTAGGGCATCTTGAGAGCTTGTAGAGGTAGGTACAACTACCCTGCCTATGTCTGTCGCGAATTAATTTGAAGGTTGTCCTTGTATTGCAGAACTCAGACTTGCATCTCATATTACAAGACCGCATCCATTATACATAGATGTCTATAGAGTTTGGTAGCTACTTATCACTAGATGGACTGAGAGTTGACCCGTCCAAGCTTAAAAAAAACTTTTGTTTCTTTTTTGTATCTGAATCAATCGTACAAATGACAAAAAAATATCTACTAAACAATTACTTTGGTCAACTTTGGTGCAGTATATACCTACGGGAGAGCCTGTGAAAAAAACCATCTTAAATTCATAAATCGACTATGTTGCCGTTATATAGTAACTTGGTCGCATTAAAACGCAAAAGACAGCGACGAAAACAAACGCTAGGAGCACTCACAGAATTATTTTAAGTCAAATTAAACATACTTAATAAAGTTGTGTCAGTCTATTATTCTAAATTAATACGTGAAGCAAAAACTTTGTATCCCTTTTTACGAAAATTGCGCGGACGGAGGAGTACGAAATTTTCCACACTTATAGAGAATAGAGAGAAGAAGTGCACAATGCTAATATTTTTTTTAAATAATGCATAAAATATACATTAAATCGATAAAGAAAACATTACACACACTACATACCATGTATTTGACGCACACACGCATGCATACTATTAATTGTCAAACTTTTGTTCTTGACGTCTGTTGTCAAATTGAAATTAAATATTGTTTGTCTTTGTTAATATTTTTTATAGTGTAGTCTTGGCGAAATTTGTGATTATAGAAGTATAAAATACAATCATAATAGTGTACAAACTTACAATTCCAATTAATTATAGTCGAATTTCGACTACTGCGGGACCTTTAGTTATTCTAAATACGAACGAATCCTGCTCTGTAGTCTAATCTTTTAAGAATACATGTCATAATAGAGTTCGATGGCAGTACTTGTAAAATAAATCTTACATTTTATCAAATCTTCGTGTTCCAAGTACCTACTTACGTTTTATTGTTAAATGTTACAAATAAATTACGTCAAAGTAATGCATCGCAGAAAAAATACGTGTGGGACAGTACCCTTACATTAGACACAGTAGGTATATCTTGGTTTGAGAGAAGTTTTATCAAACATTTATTAATACTTATACCAAGATTATGAGTTTGTTTTTATGTTATATTTTACACGTGTATCATTTTACACACGACTTTAATTCATGCAGATTGAAAAAAAAAAGATACATTGATTTTATTAAATTGTTTAATTATAATATTTAATATTGATTGTACGATTTTGTACTATACTGTATTGTAAGTATATATTAATAAATTGAAAATAACTAAATCACTTTCCTCGGATATTTTTATTCATTTTACAATTTCCGATCTGTATTTGGCACTAAGATACATGTGATATGATTTTACTGGTAGATAGACTAGGTACCATTACCCTGCCTATCTCTGCCGGGAAGTAGTAATGCGTTCTAGTTCGGAGTGTAACAACCGCTACATGAGGCATGCTATTGAGACATGTCTCAAGACAGGTGGTAGCATTCATGTGCGCGAGTTCTTTCACCTCTCTCTCTTCTCTCTCTTCTTCAACCCATGTATATCCAGTGTTAGGTGTAGGTCTTTTCAAATGCACTCCATTCTTTTCGGTCTCTTGCCTTTCGCATCCAGTCTTTACTCGTTATTTAGACCAGGTCGTCTGTCCACCTCATTGGTCTACCCACACGACGTCCAGTACGAGTTCATTCACCTATGCAATAGAAATTACAAGCGCAGTCTTCTAAGTCAATCAAACAACAATTAATTTCCCTCGAAATAGCGCGCTATACGGAAGAGGAGCAGAACTTTGTTTTTGTTGGTTTTTTAGACTTTTAACTTTGCATTTTTCGAGAAAAGGTCGACCGACGCCTTCACAATAATGTTCGCCACTTTAACTTCCGAAAAAAAAAACATCTTCGTTCTTTTTTTCCTTCCGTGGGCTCCTCTTTGAAGTTTCGTCAACCCTCTTCCAAAAGTTGTGGACGACTCACAGATATTTTAGCCCTTCAAGTGTTCCCGTTCGAGTTAATTTTACTGTTTCAACTGTTGTAAAGCTGTTTTGATGGTTTCACTTTATGTTTCGTGAATGAACGATTTAGATCACTTTACAATCGTTATTTTACGGATAAATACGTATAATAATATGTGATTCGTTGTAATAGGCCAAAACGAATAGGCAGTTTCCAATATTTACAAAGGCAAAGACAATTGTTTGGCAAAATCTTGAGTGGTTATTAAGGAAATAAAATTAAAATTCCTGCATTTAGGCACACTTGACTTGCAGATTATTTCAAACAAGTATTGTCTATCTTATTGACTTCTACTAAGTTGCAAATATTAGTAATCTACTACAATGCCGGTTGCTCGTGTCATTTGTTTATTCTGTCAATAAATCTATTGTGGAACAATAAATCGTGAAAACTAAGCTTTATTTAAATTCAGTTCAATACTTTTGTGATAGTGCAAGTCTATGGTCAAAATTTAGATAGTTATTATAACGTACCTAATAGGTATTATTAATGTGTATGCGATTCTCACGCATCATTATAGAGTGATTACTTTATTTATTATATTACTTTCAAATATACTTTTTTTTGTCGTACTGTTAACATATAAATTTAGGCTATTTTTCCGCTGTTTGTAAAATTGCTGTAACATGTCATAGTTTGTTATAAGAGATTGCTGTACATGCCTGTAACTGGCTTACATACCAGTACTCAATTATATACATGTTAATTTTAAGCTTGAATGTTTTGTGTGTATTGCTGTTGGTGTGTCTAAATAAATAAATAAATTACAATTCAAAATGAATCATTTATCTTTATGCTTCCAGGTCAAACTACAAACCGGTCAAACTAAATTTCAAATCACACCTTTCCAAAATCTATCATCACACTAACTGGCTGATTTGAAAAAAAATATCATTTCATTCAAATCATTTGTTTATTCTGTCAACAAATCTATTGTGGAACAACGTCTAAATTGCAATGCAAAACTTCAGATTGTATACTAAATGATTGGACTCAATTGGTTGTTTAAAATAAAACAATCAAAACTGCAATGCGAGTGTGGTTAACAAAACGTCATTGAACATACAAAATAGTATACGTTGGATTTGTTTTTACGAAATTTAACATTTCAATGTCACACTTTTTATCCATAAGATTTATCCAATAAAAAATAATCAGTGAAATTCATGATTTTTCACTATTTGACATAATTATTGTCATCCAGTTGCAAGTAGAGCACGGGAGCGGCGGCCAGAAGCTTGATGAAAAAATGCGCCTATAAATCCTAAATACATCGCTTCGAATCACATCAGTGTTGTTCAGTAAATCAGAAATTATTTATTTTATAACCTGATAATATAATATCATTGTTGTAAGTAAACAATATTTAATTGCATGTTGCAATCATGTTTTTTGCTTGTTAGCAATACACATTTCAACTACAATTTTAAGCCTATAATTTTGTGTGGATGAGTTTCGATTTTAACTTTATTAAGTTGTAATATTCTGTGCCGGTTTTTCCTTTTCGGTTATATGAATAAATTACTTTTTGCCGTGTCTTTTTTTAGTTATTAGTCTTTCGTTTTGAAATTGGCCTAAAGTAAACAAGTAATGTATTTGTAAACAATCGCACAGTGATTATTATTTTTTTAGTTTTTGTTTTATTCGATATTCTACAGCCCTAGAGGTTCGTTACTTACCAGTCGTACCATCTATAATATAGGTATGCAGTGGACGATATCACTCACAACACTAATCACGTTAAAACATCTCGAGCACGCATCACAGTAATGAGCAAAGGCGGATCGCGTCACGGGGCCGTACTGACCTGCCACTCTTGGTGATCACCATCTCGGTGCCGAGCTTGTGAAACTTCTCCCAGAGGTCCTTGCCTTCAAGGGTGACCTTAGGATCGTCGACGACACCGTCGTCGTCAGGCGGTAGAGGCGCGTACGGCGGCGGCGGAGGCTTGAGCAGAGGACAGGGAGCGGACAGCGCGGCGGCAGCGGCCAACGCGGCCGGCAAGTAAGGCGGCGGCGGCAGCGCGCCCGCCGTCAGCAGCGCCGACACCGAGAAGTCGCTCGGGCGCGGCGCCAGCAGCGGATGGAAGGCGACGGCGTCGCGCCGCTCCGCGCCCTCGAAGCGCATGCCCGCGCCGCCTGGGGCCCACGGCGCGCGCTCCACGACCGGCGTGCCCGGCGGCTCGCGCTCATGCAACGTCCATAACGCGCCGACCGGCGACTCGTTCGCGACACTTTTCGCTCGTCCCGTGGCGGCGACCGCTCTCGCGGCAGGCGTCAAACGACTGGCCGCCGGCGGCGCCGCGTCCGACACCCCTCCGCCGCGCGCCGCCCAATGGCGCTGGCGGGCGGGGCCGCGTTGTTTCCCGGCGGCGCGAGGTGTCCGCCACACCTCGCCGAGGGGCGCTCCGCTAATCTGGTTAATGCGGCGCGCGGGGGCGACACTCGCGCTCGCCGCCGCGCCCGCCGCCTCCTTCTAATTGGACACGTTTCCGTTCCTTCATCAATTGAGCTCGTTACGTTCTCGATGTATCTTTTGTGGTGCGATGCTAGACTCGGCCCTCCACATTGCGACCTCATACTGAGAAACTCACGAGGTTCTCACAGGCGTTCTCGGCTTAAAAATGGTCTCAAATACGTACCTACATAAGAAAAAGACAATAGTCGTGTGCTTGAACTTTGTAGTCGGTTCGTCCTTAAAAACTTTTATACTAACTTAACTTCTGGGGAGAATTAAAATCGCCGTTTTCTTTTCACTGTAATTATTCGAGTTTTTTTTTTGATGTTTTTTAAACCACATTTACTTAACATTGGTAAACTACAAATATCATTAAAATTATTTCTTAAACTATAATTACGTAAAATCAGTTTTTCTGGAATCTGTTTTACATACAGCGTATTTCAAATGCAAAATCTAGCTTTAGTGTAACTACCAAACTAATTAAATAATATCGATTCGGAAGGCTTATTTTCTCGGGGCAATATCTTGAAATCGTGAAAACTAAATTTTATTTAAATTCAGTTCAATACTTTTGTCATAGTGCAAGTCTATGGTCAACATTTAGATAGTTATTATAACGTACCTATAATAATGTGTATGCGACATTCTCACGCATCATTATAGAGTGATTACAATTCAAAATGAATCATTTCTCTTTACGCTTCCAGGTCAAACTATAAACAGGTCAAAGTAAATTTCAAATCACACCTTTCCAAAATTTATCATACTAACTAGCTGATTTGAGTATAAAAAAAAAACGAATATATTTTTTCTGTATTACAGAAAACTTCAAAACGGACTATGAATAGCAAAAATTTAACGTAAATTGCTTTGATCGTGTAAAAAAAACTATTTACAGAACGCAGAAACAATTTAAAAGTCCAGAAAAAATATGCGAAATGATTTATTCAGACAGCAGTTTAAAATTTTTATGTAGATTTGTTTACGTGTTTTAAGAAAAATGCACAGTTTTTATAAACTGTCTATAAAAGTTGTTATTACTCTTAAGCTTATCGGTGTAGCATTTCGGTTTGTGATCTGTGATATACACAAGTGAATTGTTCATTTTGAGTCAATCGCGGCACATTAACCCACATTCGATTCAAAACAAGCCCCTTTATTTAGGAAGTCAGTGTACTCGTGGTTGTACGATTCGGAACATATCATTACCGATATATTAATTAATACGTGAAGCAAAAATTTTGTATCCCTTTTTGCGAAAATTGCGCTCACAGAGGAGTATGAAATTTTGCACACTTATAGAAAATATAGAGAAGAAGTGCACAATGCTAATATTTTTTTTAAATAATGCATAAAAGATACATTAAATCAATAAAGAAAACATTACACACACTACATACCATGTATTTGACGCACACACGCATGCATACTCTTTATTGTCAAACTTTTGTTCTTGACGTCTGTTGTCAAATTGAGAATAGGTAGATTAAATATTGTTTGTCTTTATTAACATTTTTTTATAGTGTAGCCTTGGCGAAATTTATGATTATAGAAGTATAAAATAAAATCATAATAGTGTACAAACTTACAATTCCAATTAGTTATAGTCGAATTTCGACTACTGCGGGACCTCTAGTAATTAATTAATGACCCTCTGAAAGGTTATTCGGAATGTCCGAATAATTCATTCGCGACAAAGACGCGCGAAAGTAGTCATACATTCTAGAATTTTCTTCTAGAAAATTAGCGATAGTGATTAGGGTCGATTAATTCGGAACCCCGATCCATTAACGGTGCTTTTAGGTAAAGCACCGGTCACCGTCCTCATCAAACCCGTCGTCGCTTGCGACGAAAGGCTCGACGAGTGAATTAAACCATAAACACATCCCACTGAGTTTTTCGCCGGATCTTCTCAGTGGGTCGCGTTTCCGATCCCGTGGTAGATTCTGCTAAGCGTTGCTCTCGCTAGGGCCAGCGCTAGTAACACACCCGGTTTGAGCCCCGTAAGCTCACCTACACGTCAAGGAGGAGATAGCCTCTCAAGGCTATCAGCATAGGTAGAAAAAAAAACTCGGAATATTACATCCATGATTAAATTTAGGTACATTTACGTTTTAATCTCTTGTTTTTTATTTTCATTATACATATTATTAGTTGTTGTCTCCACTTTACCACTCCAAAGTGGAAACACTAGGTGCGCTGTAAGCTCGTCTACCTTTCTATGCAATAAAAAATAAATAAAACAGATATATTCGACTGACTATGTGGCATTAGAGTTAGCGTCCCCAACAACTGGATCGTGGTTCGCTTCCCACATCGGGCGAACATTCATGTGACTTATAATGCGTTTCAAATAAGAATGTACATGGACCTGCGCCATATTGTGACGTCATAACTGTCAAATCGAAAAAATTGGTAAAGTCAGTAAAAAAGGTAGGTATTTTTAAATATTAATTTATAATCCAAATCTTGGAGTTTGCCGATTTCACTCATCCAACTGCTTGAGTAATCATCATCATCGTCGCCCATCTATAGATTTATAGGGCCCGACAGTGTTGCTGCCTTGATTTTTAAATAGGTAGGTAATAAAAAAAAGTTAGTTTTTTTTTATATAATCTAAATTCATGTTTAATTTACCTCGACCAGTACTAAGCATATCAAGAAAACTATATATGTGTATATGGTTCATTAAAACAAATATAATATTAATAGTCTTGATAATTAGGCAAAAATTCACTAAAAAATAGATGATATTTTTTTTTGTTGCTGTCCATACTTTTTATCGAACTTTGACAGATCAAGGTCATTGACGTGCATATTCTTTGTTCTTTGTCTGGGTGTGTAATTACGTACTATCTATTTATACATTTTATTTATACATACATACTCTTGTGATTCCGCACGGATAGGTGCCGTGAAGCAGTAATGCGTTTCGTCGGGTGGGGCAGCTGTTGTAACTATACTTGAGACCTTACAACTCATATCTCAATGTGGGTGGCGTATTTACATTGTAGATGTCTATGGGCTCCAGTAACCACTTAACACCAGGTGGGCTGTGAGCTCGTCCATTAATCTAAGCAATAAAAAATTAAAAAAGTATGTAAGTATGTTTATCTGTCTCCGCTTAGTATAGCGAATCCTAGCTTAGAGCCAGTTGACCAAACTTAAAGAAATAGCTACCCAAAAATCATCGCTTAGCGCAGTGCCCTAACAAGCTGTCTGAATAAATCCTTTTTCCATATTATTTCTGTAGTTTCAAATTGTTTTTGCGTTCTGTAAATAGTGTTTGTACGATCAAAGCGATTACATTTTTGCAAGTCACAGCCCGTTATGAATATTCATCCTAATGCAAAATGCTAAATTTTGTCACCGCGATTTTAATTTTTTAATTATAGTTTTATTCAAACCTTACCTATATTAATATATAACGTAATATAACCAACCGTAAAATGTATTACGTGTTAATGCAATTTTAATATGTGAGACGATAAGCATAAAGCTTGGTACGGTTGTAAAATTAATTAACTAAACAATTCGGTTTTAGCTCGTCATAAAGTGTAGCGTCAGAGAAAAAGAAAAGAAAAGAAAAACCGAAGCATCAAGATTTTTTTCGTTCCGTTTTGGGACGAAAGCTTCTCATTAAAGGTTTTATTAATCAATACTATTTTCGGAAACAAATTAGACTGTTTTTTTATTTTTTGGACTGTCGCTCAGGAAATATCGATACCTACACAGTCTGTGTTTAGAGTTTTTTTTTAGAATTTAGGTACATTTTATTTTGCGCAAGACTGCAGTCAAATTAAATGTCCGAATTATATTAAACTGTTAATGAAAGAAGTGAATACAAAAATCGAATTGTTTTTTTTTTTAAATGGCAACAATAAAAATACGGCTGCACTTAATTGCGTCACGCGTGACGTCACTCGGAACCAACCAAACAAGGATAACTATACAGTACTAAGAAACTCTAGATTAGGCACATATGACATCACGTGTCGGTATTAGAATGTTCTTATTTTTTTATTGCTTAGATGGGTGGACGAGCTCACAGCCCACCTGGTGTTAAGTAGTTACTGGACCCCATAGACATCTACAACGTAAATGCGCCACCCATTTTGAGATGTAAGTCCTAAGGTCTCAAGTATAGTTACAACGGCTGCCCCACCCTTCAAACCGAAACGCATAACTGCTTCAAGGCAGAAAGAAGTAGGCAGCGTGGTGGGACTTACCCGCGCGGACTCACAAGCGGTTCTACCACCAGCATAAAATTATTTGTGTGTGTATTTGTTTGTTTTTTTCGAATAACATTAATTTTAGCTTAATGATTTTGAGTGTATATCATTAAACGTCTCGCTTAAACAGCGTCCTTCGGGTTATCGTTTCAGTTTAATTACGAGCCTTTATAAGTTCGGAATCTTTATAGTGTTCGAATCGCGATATCTTTAATATACCAAATGCGATGCCCAATTAAGTTTCTCTAGAAGTTTCCAGGGCCGGTGCGATGATTGAAACAAGCGACATTATGTCTTAGAATTTAAATATCGTCTTTATACATATGTACGTAGGTACATCCATATTTTCTATTTTGTCGTTTAAGATTCTTATACTTTCTGTTTGGCATACCTAAATTCAGAAATTTATATGTTATTGTTATTTATTACACTATCTAACGAGTTTTAATTTCTTTATTTTAGTCATAAAACGCTAGAAAGTAAATTGCATAATTTACGTCTTTATCGTATTTATTCGTTCAGTTGTTTGTTACTCTTCAAAATTAAATATTAATGAAACCGTAGAATCTTATGTAAAGTAAAACTTTATTCCTTTTGGAGTACGTTAAA